CATTTATCAAGGTGCATGTGCATAGTCACCATTTATATTGTTGAAAAAGGTATTTGCAATGAATAAATCATTTGGTTTTGCAAAAGTCTATCTTGGGATCTCTGGCATCATTCTACCACCAAAGACATATTTTTCAACTACTTTTCCTTTCTGTTTCTTTACAACTTTGGTATTCCAATCACTAGGAATTATCAATACATCTTGACTGCATGTTTGATTAATTTCAGACTGCAGAAGTTGGTAAAAATCTTCAATTTCCTTATCCTTGGTTTTAGTTGTTGTTGTTAAGTGCCGTCATAAGTCAGTACTGACTCATAGTGATCCTGTATAGGGTTTCTGAGGAGCGGCTGGTGAGCCTGAACTGCCAACCTTGAGGTTCAAAGTGACTTTGCAGTCCAGCGCATTAACCCACATCACCACTAATCTTCCTTGTAGGTGTATAGATATTATTCTATCACAGACAGCACTGGACTTCAGGATACATCTTGAAAGGTTCTTTTTAAATAATGAATGTGATACTAATCCTCTTCAATTTGTTATTCCCAGCATAGTAGATCATATGAATGCCTGATTCAAAATGGCCAATTTCAGTACATTTCAGCTCACTAATACCTAAGATTTCAAATTTTACGTGTTATTTCATTTTACAACTTTCAATTTCCTTAGATTCACAGTTTGTACATGTCAAGTTCTGAATATTAATGGATGCTTACAACTGTTTCTTCTCATTTTGAGTGAGTCCTATTGCCTCAGCAAACCCAGGTCTGAAACCTATCCACATCATTAAGGTCGACTATTTTGAGGAGACACCTCCCCCCCAGTTGTATTTTGAGTGCTTTCCAATCCTAGGTGCTCATCTTTTGGCACTATGTCAGACTGTTTCACTGTTATTCATAAGGATTTTTAAAAAAATAAATCATTTATTGTTTAAATTTGTAGTTTACATTTTCCTGCAAATAGCTGTCAAGACGATTATACTCTTGTTTAAAAATATTTCAGCAAAATTAATGCAATTAACTACAGTAATATTAGATCAATGATAAAGATTAGAACAGTTTTTTTAAAACTTTCAAAGTAGTTTGATTGTATCTATTAAAATATTTTACCATAAAAATAATAATGAAAAATCAAGTGGCTAGAGGAATGCTGTCAAAGTAGATACATTTCAAATTTGAAGCTATTATTTTTGTATTGAAATTTTTGTTAATACTTTTGTTTTCACATTAGAAAATAATCTCTCATCAGTAAATTTCTCTTTGATTTTTAAAGAGTTTGTTACTTAGAAACTGACATCATTGATGACATCTCCAAACATGTAACATATTAACACATCAGGCATCACTTTCCTTTCTGTTTTACCTCTTTTTTCTTATTTAATTGTGAATTGAGTGAAAGTTTACAGGGCAGATCATCAGTTTTACATTCAACAAATCATACACTTTGTTTCATTACAATGATTTATAATCCCCTCCATGTACGGACTCCAGGGTACTTAATAACAACAACAACCATGTACCATCAGATAACAATATTTCTCTCTATTCGCTTTAGCTCTTTTTTTTTTTTTTTTTTAACACTCAGGCATATATAATAATTTATACCACCAAAGAGCACATTCTGAAAGTCTGCCTTCTGGCCGCCAGCTCTCAGTCCCTCTCTTCCCATGAATCTGGAGTCCTCAGCTGCTCCCTCTCTCCATGTCCCCATCTCTGTCTCCATCTCTGGTGATGTTATTTATAGTGGCTGGTTTTTCAAAACTGGATCAACTTTTCCTTCTTCCTAGTCTGTCTTAGTCTGGAAATTCAGCTGAAGCCTGTTGTCTATGGATGACCCTGCTAGTATTTGAAATACCAGTGGCATAACTTCAGCAGCATACAAACCAATACAGTATGACAAATGAACAGATGAGTGGTGACTCTCTCTATATGTGTATACACACACACATACACATCACTGGTTCTGTTTCTCTAAAAGTATGCTAGTTACACAGTGCTTAAGTGCTCAGCTGCTAACCAAAAGGTTGGCGGTTCAAACCCATCAGCCACTTCAGGGAAAATGTAATCTGCTTTCATAAAGATTACAGTTTTGGGAACTTCTATGGGGCAATTGTACTCTGTCCTATAGGGTTGCTATGAGTTGGAATTGGCATAACAGCAGTGGGTTTTGTTGTTGTTGTTACTGTTGTTTTCAGTTTTTCTAGGGAACCCTAAGATATGTACCTTTCCAGAATTTTCTTTTGCAAACAAATATATTTTCCTTCCACCTCTTTTACAGAAAAGGTAACATTCATTTGACACTCTTCTGTACCTTTCTTTCATTTAACAATGTACTCGGAAATGTTTTGCCTATTCATATATCAAGACCTTTCTCTTTTTTTTCTCCACTGAATCTCATTGGGTGAATGTACCATAATTTATGTAAAGTGGTTATAATTGATAGACAGTTGAGTTGTTTCCTAGTTGAGCCTGCCACATCTTCTGTAAAAGATGTATCAAAGTCAGAATGGGGCTATAAAAAGGGTGGAGGAAGAGGGGTAGGGGAGCCACCTTCCCAGCCGGGCTGAGGAGAGAAGTTAGGTTTTGGTACAGGATAGGGAGATAAAGCAGGGATGGGAGATGAGAGGCAAATGGGGCTTCCCCCAGGCCTCCTAGAAAGCTGGTTGCTCTGGTGGCTTGTTCTCTAGTGTTCTTATTGCCCACTGCCCTTACTCAATCCCCTCCTCTATGTGTCTTTTATCTGTTGGCCTTTCCCTGGCTCTGAGCCTGACTTCCTAACTGATTTCTTTAGACCTCACTGAGGGGAGTGGTTGAACAATGAGGAATTGGGGCCTGGCTCTCTGAGTCTAGACTCTCACAGGCTCTCATGTAGGTGATCATTAGCAACACTTGAATGGTCAGTGGCCTTACCCTTGCCCAGGTTCAGCTTCTCTGTCTGTCCTTTGCCAGTCTTGGACTTCTAAACTTCAGCTGACCTGGAACAAGGGGGATGGCCCAAGAGAGGGGAAGCCTGAGGAATTAAGGAGTCATTTCTCCTCCTCGTTCCCTACCCCCATCCAGAGACAGATCTAGGATACGGCATGTTCCCTGGGAACAGTTTGAAGGGCTAGGGACTCTAATAATAAGCAGTTTCTACAAATATTTGCCATCACAGTTTCCATCACCAGTTATAAGAGATCATTCCGCAATTTAAAACCAGTTGTCACTGATGCTCTTTTCTGTAGCTCTAACTCTACTTAGTGGTGACACTAGGGGTATGCCAGCTATTCAGACCACACCAGGCGACATTGTCATGGTGGGGGGGAAGGGGACTGTAAATGATTGTCTATAAATTTTTTGTGTAGTATTTCAGCAGAAATTTATTATTTTTAATAAAATATCCCTGTAGTTAGTTATAACAACAACAACAAAATTTTAAGCCCAGCCTACATGTATCAATATACCTCCAAAGCTAAATTTCTATGCTAATTTACTTTTAGAGCTTTCTTATGGAGCTGTGGGGCACTGCACTGGACTGCAAGGTCAGTTTGATGGCAAGGTTGGTGGCTCAAATTCACCAACTACTCCTTGGAAATCCTATACAGGGTTGCTATGAGAACTGACTTGATGGTATTTAACAACAACAATGCAGTTCTGGCTAGAGCTGTCATTATTACCCAAGTACAATGATGCCTCATATAACATGGTTTTGTTTGTCCAGCTGCAGCATGCAATACTATTTTTGAAGTTGTCAGTGTATTTATAGTCTCTGATTTAGTAAAATTTCCTGGTGTTTAGCTATAGTATTATAGTAAATAGTATTTATGGACCTATATCAATAACTTTTTTGGGAATGAAGTATAATTAAAGGAAAATAAAGAGAAAAAATTTTAAAAGGGCTTCTGTTCAGTTACTAATAATGTTGTAAGTACAGGAGTAATTGTGGGTTCAGTTCCAGGCCACTACAATGAAGTGAATAGTGTAATAAAGCGAGTCACACAAATATTTTGGTTTTCCAGTACATATAAAAGTTATGTTTACACTATACTATAGTTTATTAAGAATACAATGTTGTTGCTGTTGAGTTGGTTCTGATTCACAGCGGACCTGTATAGGGTTTCTGAGGAGTGGCTGGTAAATTTGAACCGCCGACCTGGTGGTTCAAACCAACCTAGCAATCCAATGCTTTTTCTACAACACCACACCAGGACTCCAAGTATACAAAAGCATTATGAAAAAGTTTGAAACATTGCAAAAATTTCAAAATGTTTCAAAGAGGCTCAAAATGAACACATGCTGTTGGCAAAATGACGCTGATAGACTTGCATGATGGAGGGGTTGCCCCAAACCTTCAATTTGTAAAATACGTAATTATCTGCAAAGCACAATAAAGTGAAGCACAATATAAAAGGTATGCCTCTAATAATGTAATTCAGCATAGAATGATTTTGTTGTTCGTATTCATATAATCTAAGAAATATTCAATTTAAACAATTTACAACTGTATCATATTAATCTATGATTAAAATTGATAATAAACATGACTAAGGATTTGGTGGGTCTGGTTCAGAAGCAGGTCCATGGGGGATGGTGACTGCACTGGGTGATGCCAACCCTAGTGACACCATCACTTCTGCCCCTGTCAGTAAGCAATGCCCTGTGCTTCCTCCCTGTGCAAATTTGGGAGGAACTGCAGAACTGAAAGGGCACTCAGATTGTGTACAAAACGCTGGCCAAATCCAGAGAGAGGCGGTGGCTCCTGTCATACCAGAACAAGTGAGTGTCAGGCTGGAAGCAGTGTGGGGGTTGAGGGATCATAAAGGGATTCCTACCCCCAGACCTGGGATGATCCAGGGAAGGGCTTTTTCTCACTTTAACCTGCGTTTCGTTCCTGTGGGTATCTCTTCTAATACCAATGAATTGCAGGGTCAGGAGGGCTTGAGAGGGGATCTGGGGACCTCAGGAGATTCAAGTAGTTGCTGCCTCTCTCAGGCCTTGCCCATCTTTGAAGTTTGACACCTCTGGAAAATGACACAGCTGCTATTACTTCTGGTTTCTGTGGCCTCTGCATGGGGTGCCCACCCCAGGGCTCCCCAGGACAGGACAGATCTGCTCAACGTTTGCATGGATGCCAAGCACCACAAGGCAAAGCCGGGCCCTGAGGATAAGCTGCATGACCAGGTGAGGACAGAGGGGGTCTGACTTGGGTTTGCGACTTGACCCTGGCAGGGAAGAAGTTAGGGAGGTGGGAAGGTTAGCTGTGTATATGTGTTTGTGTGTTTTGGGGGGGTGGGGAGAGACAGAGAGACTGAGGTGATCCTAAAGGGTCTCCTGCCAGGAGGCCACCAAATCTAGATAATGGAGACACCATGTATCTAACATTCACTGTGAGCCAAGTAGAAGTCCTGGATGGAGAAAGCCGTTAAGCGCTCACTGAAAGGTGGGTGGTTTGAACCACTCCGAGGCACCTTGGGAGATAGACCTGATAGGCAATCTACTTCTGAAACCCTAGGGAGCATTTCTACATGGCACACATAGGGTCCCCAGAAGTCAGAATCAACTCAATGGCAACTAATAATAAAAACACGATCTAAGTGCTTTCCTTACATCATGTCAGTGAGTGGGCCCAGAGTCTGCTTGGTAAGTGAGCGGTATTCTCTACTTACACAAATGAGGAAATTGAGGCTTAGAGAGGACACAGGTACATATGAAAATTGAGAGGCCAGTCATTAGCAGGGGCCAGGAGAGGGATTGACTGTTCTATTCCTAACCTTAATTATGTGCCATTGCTGGAGCTCAGAGGCAAGGTAGGGGAGGAAACAGGTCCTGTGGCCATGACACTGCAAACTGGCAAACAGGCCAAGTCCCCACCCCCATGAGGATAAAAGAGAGTAACATACCAGATATGCTGGGAAGATTTCCCAATAAAGGGGGTATTGACTTTGGCCTTAGAGGATGAGTTAAAGTTTTCCAGGAAGACAAAAGAGGAAAGGGTAGCCTGGTATAGGACAGCATGTGCATGGGTTGAGGAAGAACATAAACCGTGACAAGAAAGGTAGTGTGGTCAGAGCCAAAAGATGCTGCTGCCACAGGTGGGGCGGGGGGAGGAGAGGACAGTGTCCCCATTTTATAGGTAAGTACATTGAAGTAGCTCAGAAAACTTGAGTTGAACTCCAGGTTCATGAGAGAGACTCGGATTTCATTCCTTCTGGTCTCTACTCTGCTATGTACAAAGTTTCAACATTGTCAGATGGCTCGGGTCCTAGGGGGGACTGTGGTATGCACAGATACTAGGGCTTTGGCACAAAGAGAGGGAAACCCAAGCAGCTCCATCACTTCTGAGTCATTTTCAATATTTCATTTACTTTTATTTTTAAGCTTTTATTTTGAATTGAGTGATAGTTTACAGGGCCGATCATCAGTTTTGTACTCAACCAATTGTATTGTGTTTCACGGAAATGATTATAATCCCCTCCAGGCACCATCTGTTAACAGTATTTACCTCTATACCTTTTTTTTGTTTTGTTTTTGATGTACACAAAACACACAGAAAATATAAATTCATCTAAATGACCAAAAAGGAGCTTTGGTAGTGTAGTGGTTACGAATTGGGCTGCAAACCTTAAGGTCAGCAGTTCAAAACTACCAGCTGTTCCGCCGGAGAAAGATGAGGCATTCTGCTCCCGTAAAGATTTACAGCGTCAGAAACCCTGTACAGGGTCGCTATTGGTTGGATCCGACTCGAAGGCACTTAACAACAACAACAACAAATGACCACAGGGCACATTTTGCAAGCCTGCCTCCTGCCAGCCAGCACACAACCTTTCTCATTCCATGGATGTTGAGTCCTCAGCTGCTCTATCTCTCTATGCCATCGTCTCTGCTTCTATTTCTGGTTAGAATCCCACACTTGGCTCATGGTCCTAGGGTCCTCTGTTCCTGGAATGTTCCTCCCCTCTTTTTTTTACACGTCTTCTACCTTTATAGTTGTGACGATCTCAATTAGTTATGAACATTTCATTTACTTTTAATAAATCTCTAGAAAACTTTCTCTTTACCAAGAGATTATGCAAGGGAGTCTTGGGTGGTACAAACAGTTAACATACTTGACTGCTAACCGAAAGGCTAGTGGTGTGAGATCACCCAAAGGTGCCTCAGAAGAAAGCTCTGGCTATTTATTTTTTTTGGGAAAAAAAAAAAAAAATCCACCACTGAAAACAATATAGGGCAGAGGGAGATTAAAAAAGGGATCAAGTGTGTTTCCAAAATGGCTGCAGCGATGGATGTGTATACCCCCAGTGGCACCAACAGCAACAGCAGTGCAGGCAAGAAGCAATTTGAGGTGGGGGAAAAAAAAAAAAAAAGCACTTTGATGTGGAATGCAGTAGCCCTCTGGGCCTAGGATATTATCGTTGATACTGTATGATCTGCAGGAACCCCATTATGGATCTTTGCATAGTATGTCAAGCTAACCAGGCGTCTGCTACTTCAAAAGAGTGTACCATTATATGGGACATCTGTAACCATGCTTTTCATTTCCACTGCATCTCTCGCTGGCTCAAAACACGGCAGGTGTGTCCATTGGACAACAGAAAGTGGGTATTCCAAAAGTATGGGCACCAGACTAGAAAAAGTAAATTCTTCTATCAAGCTTAAGTATTTTGTTATTTGCTTAATGAATTGCCCTCCTGTTACTTAATTATAAATTAGATTGAACCATGTATTTTCTGCTTTGTCTTTCCAGTTTGTTGTGTTAATGCAGCCATATTGTATCCTGTCAAATAAAGCCCAGCTGGAATCTTAAAAAAGAAAAAAGATCAAGAACTTAATGTGAAAAGCCAAGACACAGTCACAGATCTCTGAGGGAGATAGATGGTTCTTAGTGACAATGACTATAATAGTTGCCATTTTTGTTAAGCCCCTGCTATAGACCAGGACAAGGAGTCCTGGATTACTTGCTGGGCTGCTAACTGCAAGGGCTGGAGTTTGAATCTATCAGTTCTGTGAAAGAAAGATGAGGCTTTCTGCTCCCATAAAGATTTACAGCCTTGGAAACCTATATAGGGTTGTTATGAGTTAGAACCCATGATGTGGCACACCACCACCACCACCATAGACCAGGATAGCTAACCACAAGGTTGGCGGTTCAAAACCATCAAGTGCTCCTCAGAAACCCTACACAGGGTTTCTGTGAGTCAGAACCTATTTGATGGTATTTAACAACAACAACAACCAACGTCAAATTGATTCTGACTCGTAGTGACTCTGTCTAAGGTTTCTGAGGCTGTAAAGCTTTATGGGAGCAGAAACCCTCATCTTTTTCCCTTGGGGCAGCTGGTGGGTTTACTGACCTTGTGTTTTTTTGTTT